AAGCAAGGGAAGGTAAAGAAAGCAATCACAATTTAAAAAATAAGGAAATTGTGGAGAAATATGACAGTGTTGTTTGTGTGACCAATCTCTCCAATTTGTACAGCATGTCAAAATCTACCATCTCGACAATCTTAAAGAGAAAAGATTTGTATAAGGAAGCTAGTGTTGTGCTCACTTCAGCAGCACATGGTAAAATTGGAAGCTAGTGTTGCTAAAGGTGTTACTCAAATTAGTAAGTCAAGATCAACAGTGTTTGGTTTTTTTTTTTTTTTTTTGGTACCAGGGATCAAACTCGGGACCATTGCACTTGCGAGGCAGGCGCCAGAACCACTGAGCTAAATCCCCAGCCCTAAGATCAACAGTGTTAAACGAGGTAGAAAGGTTATTACATATTAGTGTGGATAAATGAAAGGCAGATGGCAGGTTATAGCATGAGTCTATAATTTGTGAAAAAGTTAGGGTTATATATGCAGATCTCATAAAGGATAATCTATCAATGAGTGATAATGCTGAAGCATTTCATGCCAGTAAGGGTTGGTTTCACAATTTTAAAGCAAGTACTGGGGCTCACAGCACAAGTAGGAATCGTGAAGCAGCCAGTGCTGATAAAAGGGCTGCTGAAAATTACATACACCACTTCAAAACAATGACACAGAGAGATGGCTTTTGCTCTCATCAAGTTTTCAACTGTGATGAAACTGGCCTTTTCGGGAAGAAAATGCCCAGAAGAACATACATTATCCAGGAAGAGAAGAAAATGCCAGACTACAAGCCTATGAAGGATAGGCTAACCTATCGATATGTGCCAGTGTGAGTGGTGACCTCAGGATAAAGCCTCTCTTGGTTTATCCCTCTGAGATCCCTAGAGTGTTCAGAAAACATAAAGTCATGAAGAATAGGCTAGGGGTCATGTGGAGATCTAATGCAAAAGCCTGGGTAACAAGAGTACTTTTTTTTAGTGGATTGGGGAGGCTTTCTGTCCTACTGTTAAGAACTATCTAGAGGACAAAGGTTTACACTTAAGGTTCTCCTCATCATGCACAATGCTCCTGCTCACCCATGAGATTTGGAAGAATTGGCTGAAGAATTCCCATGACTCTAAGTCAAGTTCTTCCCACCTAATACAACTCCTCTACTGCTGCATATGGACCAGCAGGTTATAGCTAACTTTAAGAAGCTATACACCAAGGAACTGTTCCTGAAGTGCTTCCAGATGGTCTCAGACACAGATTTAACCCTTAAAGAGTTCTAGAAGGAACTTTACAACATCCTTTCCTGTATGGGGTTAATTGAGAAATCCTGGGCTAATGTCTCTCTCTAAGGACATGGAGATCTGCCTGGAAGAAAGTGTGGCCTAAAATTATACAGGAGAGAGACTTTGAAGGCTGTGTAGAGGAGCCTGAGCCTTCAGTTGACCCTGTAGTTGACAGTTGATGACATTGTCATTATAGCAGAGTCTATAGACAGGTAGACAGTTGTGGTGCATGCCCGTGATCCAGCACTTGGGAAGCTGAGGCAGGAGGATTGCCATGAGTTCAAGGCCTGTTAGACCTTGTCTCAAAAAAAAAAAAATGACACAGATGCCAAGAAGTGCTTGCTGTCATAGCTTTCCTTGTGATAATCTGCCCTGTGTCCTCCAGGGTGTACTTTTATCTTGCTTTTTCCTCTTCCTCAGCCCAAGTTCACTTTGCAGAAGAACTAATTTCTCTCTCACTCTTCACTCTTACTTTTTCAAATAAACTTTGCTACTGCTTTTTTCTCATTTCATTCAATTCTTTGTTGGAGACAAGAACCTGGAATCCAACTCAAGAAAGAGAGGTGAGCCACCCCAAACCTGGTAATGTTTATTTGGCAAGCCACTTTTAAAAGGAGCTATCTGCTAACAGGTCTTTTTTACCTGGAATTCCTAAACTGGTCTCTCCCTCAAGCAAATGAGGTATTGAGACAGTTATCCTATCAAAAACTCCCTTGGCCTGGCACTAGATTCAAACTGCCCTACCTTGTTTTTGACTTTTCACCAGATGTAAATGGAGAATTGAAAACAGCACTTTTCTGACTGGTTCTATGTATAGTGCTCAGGAGCTGCAGTCAACCTGGATCCTGTGTTTTGGGCATGTACCCTGGGTCTCCATGACTCTGACATATTCCACCTAGTCATCTGACCAGTTTGTCTCAGCCCTAATCCACCTCATAACCATTTGTCACCATTTCCCCAGCTCCTTCCTGCCGTCGTTTCTGGCCTGGATTGCCAGGATAGGACAATAACAAGCCATTCAGCTCCTACCTGTGCACCTCTAGCATGTTCAAAACACTACTGCCTGAGTGCTCCTTTCAAATGGGTCCTGTCCTCTCTTCACACAGAGGAAACACTGGAACCTTACAATAGTCAACATGATCCAGTCCCGAAGACTCTTTTGGCCTCTTCTGTCACTCTCATTCACCAGCTCTAGCTATTCCTTTACCGCCTTGGTCGTCTTATTAGTTACTCCATCTCTCTGGAATGCTCTGCCCTTAAACTTTCTCCTGGCTGACTCTGTCACCTTACAGTCTTGTTTAGATATCATATTCTAGTATATGTGCTGCCAAAGCGAGCACATAGTTTAGCACTCCGGACTCTGAATCCAGATGTCATATTCTAAATGGGATCCTCTGTTTAAAACTAGAGCTTCTAGGGGCCAAGGATTTAGCTCAGTGGTGCCGCTGCCTGCCCTGCAAGTGCAAGGTCCCGAGTTTGATCCCTGGTACCAACCCCCCCACACTGCAAAAAAAACCCAACTACAACCTCTGTCCCCATTCCCAACCTCTTTACCTCTGTTTACTTTTTCTTTCCTGCAAAGTGACTACTCATCACCTCCCAACATCCCATGCAATTCACTTATTTATTGTGTTGTTACCCCCCACACCTCTAGAGTGGACGCTCCTCCAGAGCAAGATATTCCTGTTTCTTTTGCTTCCTAGTGCATGACAAGAGCCTCTGGCACAAAGTAGACATTCTGTAGGTAGGTAAACATCTACTGAATGAGCTTCAGGCTAATTAGAATAGTCTGATCCTTCTGACAAGATGCAGTGAGACAATTTCCAATTCAGAATTACTGGGCTGGATGGAGAAAAGGAAAGCAGAACCACAAATCAAATTCTGAAATCCAGATCAGTGAATCAATAACTTGCCAATGCCAAATGTAGCCTGGGGTAAAATGCTAATTTGCTTCCCTTTTAATGTGAGAATGATTGGGTTGATACACTTGATTGGAATCCTGAAACTCTCACTATGAATAGGAAGAAAGCACTAAAAATGGCTGAAATCCTGACCTGGGCCCCTCTAAACAGCCTCTGGTCTGGGTCACTCTGCAGAAAGAGAGCTCCCATTCCAAGGCTGGGCTTGGAATGCAGCTTGGAGGAAGGGGCAACATTCCTAGGGAGATTAGAGAAGGTAGATTCACTGCAACCTCCTTTCTACTCTTTTTCGTTCTCTGTCTATGCCTGGAGGCAAAGACCATTAAAATAAAAACAACTGGGGACCTAAGAAAAGGAAAACCAACTGTCCAGGGCAGGCAAGGCTTTTCAACTGGGTAGGGGTAGGGATGCACTGGGCAAGCTCCAGCAAGCCTGCTGACATTTCATCCATAAACAAGTATTTATTAAACTTTTCTTGGATCACTTTCAGGCACTTTCTTGGCCTCAAGGAAATAGAGGTAATTGGTATAATGCCCTTGCTTTCATGGAGTTTACACTCTGGCTAAGAACAGGAAACAACCAAGTAAAATGTGACCAACACACTTAGATCATGGTATTTAGGCTTTAATTGGGGGAAACTTACACATATTCATCTAGGGAAGACTCATCATCACAGGTAGAGCTGGGCATATTCCTTTTTGCAGGTTCCCACAAGAGGTGGACAGCATATAATGACACAGATGCCGTGAGAGCCTGCTATCATTACTCTTCATGGTGTCCTCCTCCCCTGTGTCTCTCAGATTGAGGAAGAGACTTTTAATATTTTTCTCTTTTTCTCTCTTGTTCAGCCCAAGTTTGCTCTGCAGAACCAATTTTTCCCTCACCCCACTTTTCAAATAAACTTTTGGCACAATTTTGGCTTGTCTCATTTAATTCTTTGTTCAAGGTGAGAAGGACCTGGACGACATTTAATTGGCAAGCCATTTCTAAAAGAAGCTACCTGATAACACTACCTCCTTTCGCCCTCTAATTCTCTAATCACTTGGGTTTTTTTGGTCTCTGGCCTCATTTTAAGCTATCTAGGCATCCCACCCTAAGTCACTTCATTCACATAAATATAGGTATATGATCAAAGAACATTCAGGTAGAAAGAACAGCAAGCAGCAAAGTTCTGGCTTGGAAAAGATGCTCCTAGTGACTAGAGGTACCCATGTGGCTCAAGAGAAGGAACAAGTGGGTAAGCAGAGAAACAACAGAAGATGGAGTTCAAGAGGTAGCATGGGGTCAGACTGGCAATATGAAGGCTTTGGTAGTTACAAAGAAGTGTGCATCGTAGCATGATTTGATTTTATTGTTTAATTTTAGTTTGCTTTTAATTTTAGCTGGGTGTGGTCACTCATATCTGTAATCCTAGAACTTGGGAGGCTGAGGCAGGAGGATTGCCATAAGTTCAAGGCCAGCCTGGGCAACATAGTGAGTTTGAGGTCAGCCTCAACTCATAGCAAGGCCCTGTCTCAAACCCCCACCTAATTAATTAAGTAATACTACCATGTGATAGCTTAGATAAGGAATGACCCCCAAAGAGTTGGTCCCCAGCTCTCGGCACTATGGAGAGGTGGTGGAAATTTTAAGAAGTAGAGCCCGGTTGGAGAAACTAGGTCACTTTGAAGGGTATGTATTGTCCTCACTTCACCCTTCCCAGTCACTGTGAGATGAGCAGCTTTGCTCTGCCACTCCGTCCCTGCATGATGCTCTACCTCCCCACAGGCCCAGAAACATGCAACCAAGGGACCGTGGACTGAAACCTCTGAAAACAGGAGCCAAAATAAATTCTCACTTTACATCATTTATTTCAGGTTGGCACAGCAACAGAAAGTTGATTAACACATAGTTTAAACTGTAAGGAAGACTGTAAAGCTAGTTCAATAGGTGAAAGATAATCATAAGTTTGGCAAGGTAGATATTGGTTATATTGGAAATAAAGTCATGAATGGATTCAAGAGATTTTAGATTTTTTTTGGTACTGTGGATCAAACTCGGGTCATTGTGCTTGGAAGGCAGGCGGCAGAACCACTGAGCTAAATCCCCGGCCCAACTTTAGATATTTTAGAATGTGAAAAAAACGCACCAGCTAATTAACCAAAGTATTATTTGACAATGAAGACCGGCAAAGAAGTCGTGTATAAAATCAGAATATGCCACCCAAATATCTGTCATATTGACGTAAGAAATATTTTAAGTTGAAGATGATTGAAAAACAGCAGACACCAAAAACAATGCTCTCTGTCCTCTTTTTTATTTGCCTAATATCAAGACATAAGTTTCTATTTGTAAAGCTGCTGTCCTGTCCTCAGCACTGTGGGAGGGTGAGACAGAAGGATCACAAATTCAAGTCCAGCTTGGGCAACTTAGTGACTTAGCAAGACTCAAAAAAATTCTGTGTGGGGGTGTGGGATACCACTTCTGATTATACTCAAAGCCTGATTAATAGATTCAAAGCCCTGGTGTCTGAGGACAACTGAGGACACAACCCTGTCATTTAGTGCAGGTGCACAATGGGACTTGGTTTTATAATATTGAATCAGCATAGAAAACCACACATGTACCTCATGGCCATGCAAAGTCACCCAGGTGTTTTGTCTCACCATGTTCCAGTAAGCTGATAACAATTAATACAACTGCTGTGAAATAAAGAGGTATCCATCTGTTTTTGCTGAAGGAACACGGACAAGCAGCTCTTGAACTTTAGAGCTCTGGCTCTAGTTCTCTTGTGCTGATGCTGTTCTTTTGCTGATGATTGGCTCTCGTCTTGTTCTTTATTGGGGAATTAACTCACTCATGGTACCAAAGACTATATAGACTAAATGAATCTCTCTCTGGGGGCTTCTGGGGAGGCTCAACCTTGACAGGGGGATAGTACAGTTAGAAATAATGGAGCTAAGGAAATCATTTCCTTCTACCAATTTTATTTTATTTTATTTTTCTTTATTTTTTGTTTTTTGAGACAAAGTCTCTCTGTGTAGTCCAGACTGGCCTTGAATTCACTATGTAGGCCAGGCTAGTCTTGAACTCACAGTGATCCTCTTGCCTTGAGCCACAACACCAAGCCCCACCTATTTTATTTTAAACAGCACCCTAGGGCTATTTCTCTTTCCATTGTTCTAAGAGAGGTACAGAAGGGCCAGGGATTTAGCTCAGTGGTTCCACTGCCTGCCTCCCAACCGAGTTCGAACCCGGTACAAAAAAAAGAGAGAGAGGTAGAGAATAACATAAGAAAAACTCAGTAAATCTCTGATGCTCTAGGCAGGCGAGAGCACATGTATACTGAATCTCTTGGCCTAACCTTCAGTCACCTTTACTGTACTCAAACCTTACTAAGAGTTTATGAATATGCCCTACATACCTGGCATGTAACTAATATCAGAGTGAATTCTGGGACAGGCATGAGTGTTGAGAGCCCCTGAAATAACATAGCAGCACTCTGTCAATCACACCTAGAGCTTCAGGGGAGGCATTTGGGCTGAGGTGCATATCCTATAAATTCCAAAAGCCTGATTTATCTGGGGGCTGCTGTGTGCTGTGCAGTGTGCAATGCTTTTGCTTTCTGGTCACCCTGACACCACTTTTCTGTTTGTGCTATTTTTTGTCAGCACAGACTTGCCCTGAGGACAATTTCCTATGATCTTCAATAAGTGTAGCTGCTTCCCACTTGCCATTAGGCGTGTACACGCAATTCACTGCTTTTCACACACAAGAGCCTGAATCATACCTGCCAAATCCATCATGTGGAAACAGGGTCTGGAGATGTCACTCCATACAAAGGTCCTGCATTCAATCCCCAATACTGGATGGAAGTATCTTCTTGTCCTGTATTGGGAAGGAGGACACCTATTAGTTAGACTTTTAATCACCAGAGGCAGCTCTAGACTCTTAGCTGGAAGTGGAGCAGAGGAATTTACACAACAATAATTAAAATAACCTTTATTATTGCTTAGTTTCCACCCATATATAGTTTGTCACCCCAAAAAGCCTAAAATTCTTTCCTATATCTTGTCATTTCTCTACAGATTTATTATTCTTTGTTAAATAGTGTTCCAAGCCCCAAGTTCTAATCACCCCTTGGGTTACTTATTACTGAGTTTCTCCTAGGCATATGCATGTTGTATGTGTTTGTAAACTCTGTTTGTTTTCTATTGTTAATCTATCCTATACCAGTTTAATTTCCAAGTCTCCAGTCATAATCTAGGAGGGTAGAGGAAAAGTTATCTTTTTCCTCTGCAGTGAGTAATTACGCACTACCACAAAATAGCATTTATATACTTCTAAGAGTAGCAGTAACAAACATATTATTAAAGACCCCAGGCCAAGGATTTAGCTCAGTGGCACCATGCCTGCCTCGCAAGCTCAAGGTCCTGAGTTCGATCCCCAGTACCAAAAAAAAAAAAAGGCCCAAAGTTACAGTCTCACTGTAACATATAAAAATGAAAACCATATACATATAAAATTGTTTAGTAATTAGTATTTTAGTATTCTATATTGGAAATGATCTGGGTATCTAATGAATATCTATTAACTGAATTTAGTATCAGTCCAAATGTTCTTTTTTTTTTGGTACTGGGGATCGAACTCAGGACCTTTCACTTGCAAGGCAGGCGGCAGAACCACTGAGCTAAATCCCCAGCCCTCAAAGTTTTAAATTACTGAATATCTTGGAAACTACAAGGTAATTATCACTGATGTTTGTCAGAAAAGTTATCCTATTTGGTTAAAATCAAATTTATACTTTCTGTAATCTTAAACAATAAATAGAAATATTGCTAGCTTATTCGATAGTGTATGTCAAGAACATTCCTAAGTAGAATAAAAATGTACTTTAATGTACACTAACTTCACTTGATCTTAGCCAAAAGGCTGAGAAACGATTAATGTACACTAACTTAAGTACATGTATATTAATTTAATTTAATGCCTATAACTCAGAGAAAACATAACTTTTAATACTGAGCTACATCTCCAGCCCAACATAGCTGTTTTTACTAAAGGAAAATAATAATATTATTATTATTTTTGGTACCAGGGATCAAACTCAGGTCCTTGCACTTGTGAGGCAGGCAGCAGAACCACTGAGCTAAATCCCCGGCCCTAAACCAAAATTATTAAACTAGTACAGAGATTTATGTAAACTTGAGTTCTTAAAATGTTTCTGAGTTAGTTTCTATAAGAATACCTCTTTTTTATGTTAAAATAATTAAAGAAAAAATTTCTAAAGCTTCAATGTTCTTAATTTCTAGGAATATGCAACTCATATAATGCTCATTTATCTCTAAGCTAATCAAAATAGAACTCTGCTAAGAGACTTTATAATGAATTTGGAGAGCCAGGTATGGTGGCACACACCTGTAATTCTAGCAGTAGGGAGGCTGAGACAAGAAGATTGCCATGAATGTGAGGCCAGCCTGGGATACATACTGAGTTCAAGGCCAGCCTGAACTACACAGCAAAACTCTGTCTCAAAAAAACAAAAGACAAAACCAAAATAAAATATAATCAATTTGGTATATGGAGGTAGGAAAATATTATATATTCACACAATGAACGCTAAAGGCCTTCCTGAATGACAGTCATGCAAATATACAGACTTACTGAGAGAGAGCTTAGAATTTCCACTGTAAAATTCCAGTCATGGGTCAAGCAAGACTGTGAGGTGAGTCACGCAGCTCAAGAATAGCAGAGCATGGATTTCCACCCTGGCAACTTGGCTCCAAGTGGACAAGAGTGATCGGGATAACCAATTGTAATAGTCCTACTTTACAATAATGGAGAGAAGTAGCCACACTATAATATAGATTTCCTGTTGAGAAACATCTGCTATATTTCAGACATTGATCACAAGTCAGGTACAGGCCATGTCCTCCTAGACAGGGATACCAAGGTAAAAGAACACTTAAAAATCTCAATGGTGTAAGTGGTGATACAAATTGAAAACTGTTTTAAAGGAAATAAAGAATTGATTCTGAGCCAAATATGAGTGACCAAGATCCAATCCAGGAAGATGGATTTAGGTTGCCCTGAATGGCATGCTGTAAAGGTTACATAGCCAAAGAACAAAGAAGGTCGAAAGTTAATACATTGAACAAATACATTGATGGGGACATTAGGTAGATGGGCTACACACGGGGCGGGAAATCTTTTCTATAGGTTTCAGATGTTATCTTATAGCATTCTTAACTTTAGGGTTGATGGGGGTGGAGGTTGGTGGTCTGCTTTTCATCAGAGTGTACAGCAAATATTAACTAAGCTTAACAATACATTCCAAGAGGTTTACCAAATAGTCACAGGAATGTTAGGCCAGATACAAAGGTTAAAAGTAAATGGCTATTTTCTAAAGGGCCTAAAATAGACAGACATGGTTTGGGCTCTGGGCATGCAACATTTCAGCTCTCAGCTATGTTCTACTGTGCCAAGATAGGCGTGCAGAAGCTTTCATATAGACATGGCTTCTTCAGATAACTTTGGCCTCATATAGGTTAAGTATTTATTTCCTCAAGCAGAGATTCAATTTGAATGTCCTTGTCAAAGGTCAATTGCCACAAATTCTGTCTGCCTAGAGTCTATACGTTGTCCTATTCTCTTCTGGCCACTCCGCACAGTTGGTGACCTGTATACATTAGCATCCTGTGGCTGCTAGTGCCCAATCAATGGCTGCAACACTGCAAGAGCAATATCTTGTTCCAAGAGCCATTTTTGGTCAAATATTCTCAAAACTAGTTGAACTTCAAGGTGATCTCTTGAGCTAAACTCTGTAAAATCCTCACTTTTGTTCCTATATGTCAAATGTTCCTCTGTCCCATGCCACAGCATTCTGCATAAAATATTATGCTTCATGGTGCTCTGTTGATTTTCTCTTACAGTTTTTGGAATTGTGACCTGGTTCTGGGAACTTTTACTGTTTAACTGGGATGAAACACATTGGAAATGTTGCTGTTTCCTCTCCTGAGAGTCCCAGTAACCTCACAGTTGAGCAAGTTGAGTTGAGTCAAGTTGACAAATGCACCACTCTCTTGAGCACCTAAGCCTTTATTATTTCTCTTTATGATCCTTGGTATGAAGCCAAGACCTTTACATAGAGTTATAACCCAGCCTTATTTATTTATTTATTTTAAAAGGTTTTGTGTATTATTTTTAAAATTTGAGAAACAGACTTATTAATTGTTAAATTACCCAGGATTGAACTTGAGATCCTCCTAGCTCAGCTTTCCAGAGTGTTGGGATTACAGGCATGGGTCACCGGGCTAAGTTTCAACCTTTTATCTTTCTCCCAATGAAGATGTTTGGCTTCTTTGTCAAAGATAAGGTGGCTGAGTGTGTTTGGAGTTGTTTCTGCATCTTCTAATCTGTTCCATTGGGCCTCAGGTCTGTTTTTTTTTTGTCAGTACCATGCTGTTTTTATCACAGTAGTTTGGTAGTATAATTTGAAGTCAGGGATTGTGGTGTCCCCTGGCTTGCCTTTGTTGCCCAGAATTGTTTTTGCTATTCTAGGTTTCTTCTGGTTCCCAGTGAATTTTAGACTTGTTTTCTCTAATTAGGTGAGATATGCTATTGGTATTTTGATCAGTATTGCATTAAAACTGTGTAACAATTTTGGAAGTATGGCCATTTGCACTATATTGGTTGTTCCTACCCAAGAAGATATCCTTTTTGATCTCATTTTTCAGAGTACTGTAGTTTTTAATGTAAAAGTCTTTCACTTCTTTCATTAGATTGATTCCTAGGTATTTCATTTTGGGGGATGTTACTGTGAAAGTTATTGTTTCTCTAATTTCTCTCAGCGAGTTTGTTGTTTGTCTACAGGAAGGCTATTGATTTTGAGTGTTGGCTTTGTATCCAGCTACACTGCTATGGATATTAAATCTAGAAGTGCTTTGGTGGAATTTTTGGGGTCTTCTATGTAGAGTATCATGGCATCTGCAAATAATAATTTAACTTCTTCTTTTCCTATCCTTATTTCTTTTATTTCTTTTCT